TGAAGTCAAGCAAGTTGGTTTTGCCCTTAACTCTAACTAGATAATGTTGTTTTTGGGTTTAGTTTGGATTCTAAGCTTCTTTTAAATTATTGCAGTAAGAAGATTTCTTCATTTTTTAGTTCTGGACAAAGAGTTTGATAATGGCTGGTAAAGCGGATACTAATATGGCTGCACAAGGTTCATTATCAAGAGAACCCCTTGAGGTGTGGAATAGTGAGATGAAATCCGGCGTAGATGATAATTTACAAGCTGTACTTGTACATGTCGAGAGCTACCTGAAGGAGGGTTCAGAGGAAGATGCAAGAAAGGGGTTAGGGGTTCTGTTAGGTAGGGTCGAGTCAGCTGCAGCAAGTTTACGCTATTTGAGATCAAAAGCTACAATCTTGACCCTTCCTGGTTTAGCCCATTCGTCACTCGGTGTAGAACAGTCAGAGCTAAAAGATGATAGTTTAGTGTCTCAAGTGGCTAAGAACATAAGTGTTCTTTCTTCTCATAATCCAGGTGAAGATACATTGGCTGGAACTAGCAAGAGCCATATAGAGGACGGAGCTTATACGCGGAAGATACTCCAATCCATACATGATGTTACTGATGTGCTGGAGTCTCTTGTGACGAGGGTAATAGCGGCGGAATCTGAAACGTCTTTTCAGAAGAAGAGGGTAACTATAAGTGAGGAAGAAATTAGAAGGAAGAAAATCCAAATCGAGACTGTGTCTTTGAGGTTAGAAGAGATGAAAAAGGCTATACTTGGAAGTAAAACTATTCTAGACGAAACAACGGAGACAATTAAAAGACTAGTTGAAGATAGAAGGAGGGATAGAGAAAGAGCTGTGGAAAATGAAGAGGAGCTTCATCGTATGAAGACAGAGTGTGAGTCACTTAGAAATTACATCAATACTTCCACAACACCAATTTCATCCGAGCGGCAATTCCAAACCATGGAAGCCCGGTCAGTCTTTATATCTTCTGTTTGCAACTTGTTAGCTGTTTTATCTAAATGATGAGACAGTTTATGTGATTGTTCAATTGCTAAGGTACACAGTATGTAAACGCAATGTCTATGATAGCGTAATGAGCAGGAATATATATCAGCAAGGGGTTGAATCTTGATTTCACTGACTGAGAATTGAATTCAATTGCTATATTTCAACATTACTGAATCCATTCTCATATATGTTTTATTGTGAAAGCAGGTTGGTTGCTAAGTCGACACAACTGGAAGGCGAGAAAGCGCAGAAAGAGGTAGAAGTGCAAAAGCTGATGGAGGAGAACGTGAAGCTAACAGCTCTTCTTGACAAGAAAGAAGCTCAGCTTCTGGCCTTAAATGAACAATGCAAAGTCATGGCTTTGAATGCTTCAAACATCTGATCTCTTGGCAAAAGAGAAGTTCATCAAGGTGTAATCCTTGGACAAATATACTAGGCGTACTTAATTATCTATCGGATTCTTTTCCATTTTCAGATTTGACATTCTGGTAAACTATCTGTAGAATATGGCTTTAAACAAAGCAAGCATAGTTGATCTGTTTTTACCCGATCTCTTTTCAAATGATTCGTAAACTCCTTGGTACTGCTCACTTGCTAAGTTTTTGCTTTTTTGTTCGTATCGTATCTGGACTTGCTTCGATTGTGAGATTCTTTTACAAGCGAAAGATCCTACACTATCAAGATACTAAACATATGATATGAGTAGTTTCCAAAACATATGGTATTTCGATTAGTTTAGACAAGGATCCAGTTTGAAGATCACATAATCCAAACTTTTTTCAACCAGGACTATCTCAAATGCAAATATTTGACTTGGTGTCTTGAAAAGAAGTGCATA